TGTGGTGATGTGAACTAAGGCAGTGGCAGTAGGAATGGAGAAGAGGTTGTCCTACTCAAAGATAAAGCCTATATAGACCTGGATAACGTGGGAATGACCTTGCTTTCTCCCTGCCCCATGCCAGATCTCTGGTTTTGCCTTGTGGATAGGTGGTGCTGCCATTTATCAAGACAAGATCCACATGAAGAGTAGATATTGAGCAGAAGTTGGTGGGCCCCGTTTTGGACCATCTTAGTATTGAGGTGCAGGCAAGGGCTTGTGGGTAGGGTATATATGATTTGTCATACAAACTTGAACGCTTGTGAGAGTGAATGGGAGGTGCTGTTAATGATTAAACTGGGGCATTAGGTATAAACTGGACCTGTCCTGGGTAAGCCAGGATGTTCTTTACACAGGTTAAGAATGTCAAGCAAGGATCAGTAGGGATGAAGCCGTATAGAGAGAATGTACAGAGTGAAGGGAGCTGTGGATTATGTGGAGTCTTGGAGAAATATTTAAAAGAGAAAAAAGAATGTGGCCTTTGAGGCAGAAGGAAAACCAGGAGCAGATGGCCTCACAGAATCTTATTTTTCGCTTGTATATTGTTTTGGGGTGGAGCTTCTTTGAGAGATTCCTCATCAGATAATGATTATCTGCAGTGAGAGGTCATATACTTAAAAAGAGGGCTTTTACCTTTATTAGAGTACTATGTTGGAATGACTTGTTATGTATCAGGATATAAAACTCTCCTAAGCACTTCTGTTTTATAGTTATTAGGCTAAAATCTAATTCAGATCCAGTTTAAATCCAGACATCATTTCATGTTATATTCGATCCTAAGGTTACTAGTTATTTAGTCAAATACAGTGAGTATCATCACTACAGGCTTAAAATAAATTTCCAGGTCAAGAGGTAGAACACATTTATCCTGTAATATAGAATCCTGTAATATTGAAAATCATAAACAGCACTTATTTTTCTTCTGTAGAAAGTAGGGTTCTTTAGGAAGTCAACAGAAAAATAAAACAAGTGAATATTTTGTATTCTTTTTTTTTTTTTTTTCCCTTCCCTTTTTGTCTTTTTTCGTGTCCGGCAACGGATCGCAACCCTCAGTGTCGCGCCCG